CTTCTGTACACTACTTGTTTGTAACGATGTGAGAACTGAGAACCTCCAAATCTGAATCAACAAAGCAATCATGGACCCCAGATGAAATATTTTTCTCATTTGGGAATTGAGAAACTGTTAAATACAATCTTAATTTCTTTCTGAGAGTTTCTATGAATATTTTTCAAGGAAGAACAAAGATATATAACATTTGAACCACTGATTATGCCACCCATCTCAATTTCAAGAGTTGCCTTTAAGGTTAAAGCTCTTGCAGATGATCCCTCAGAAATTTCCTGGTTTTTATTGAACAGCTGCTTCCAATTTGAAATGTCGCGTGGCCTTCACAAGATTTATTAATTTGGTAATCTTAAACTTCTGGGCAATATTCCTCGTCTGCAGAATTTTCCTCTCTGGAATACAATTTACAAATCAATGTTGTTAGGCTGGGAATTAACACCCAATGACATTTTTGGAAGCTTGATTTAGCTTGGCTAATTGGACTTGTATTTGGGGTTTCATTGCCTTTCTGAATCGTATATTTAAATCATGTTTTAAAGTATTGATACGGCCGATATGTACAAACAGGTGTATCAGATCTTTCGATACTTTTATAACTTTTTTTTTTTTTAATTTTTTCCAAGTATGGTATCAAAATTTTGAATCTTATGCTCAGTTTGGAAATAGTATAAATACAAATGCAAAACCTTATATTTTATATACATTTATACCATAAATATTTGTATTTATACACTTTCCAAATCGAGTCTTAATTTAAATGTGTTTAGGTAAAACCCCATTTATTCATCTTGTGATGCAATTGCAAAGAACAGACCCTTCCCTTGGAGGAATGAGGATGTCAGGATGAGATATGGTGAGCCCATATCAAATTTTATCATAACTATGCCTATTATTTAAGAGGAGTATACAACTCTAAAGGCCCACAAGTCACATTTGGTGCAACTTGCTCCTTGGAAAATGGCTTCACACAAGCGGACATTACGCCGTGGGATGTGGGATGTATGCAAGGCAATGGGCCTACTTACTGCCATCTCTTCTCTTTCATTCCCCATTTTTTTTTTCTTCAATCTAATCCATGTGTAGTTTTAGTAAATTGTTTTCCACCGCCCAAGATTTAAAGCCCTGTTTGGTTCTTGGGAATAGGGGCTTAAAATTGAAATCTTATTCTCATTCCTATTGAAATGGCATTTCTCATATGAGGGAATGATCATTTCTTATTCATCCTTTAGTAATAAAATCTAATTCCTACTTATTCTAATTCCTATTCTCAGTTCTGTTTAAACCAAACAAAGGAAATAGACTATTCCAATTCCGGTTACGAAGGATTTCAATTCCAATTTCAATTTTAGCTGTGAACCAAACGGACTCTAAATGATGGCATACCATTCAGTTGCAGATTGACAGTCATCGGATGAACTTAGAATTTTGGACCATCTAATCTCATTAGATGGGACCTTTGAATTCTGATTCTCTGTTGCGAATGCAGATCCACAGTTCTGGGGTCAGGCTAAAAGTAATTAAATTTTAATTAGCTCCACTATTTTGAGTCTGAGCCCACCTGCTTACAAATGCATGAAGTCGGCCAAACAAGGTTTGTCCTCTTTAGAACAGTGCAAGAGAGGTGGCGGAGACTCAGCAAGCATCATGGCAGGTATCTTTTGTGAAATCTTTGCACTAAGATTCTCAATAACAAAATGCCTAACCCGAGCTTCATTTTGTAAGGGAGATCACTCTTTTGCTTGTGGAGTTCATTAACTAGTTCATGTCATCATGTATTTGGCTTCAAACAAACGGGGCAAGTGGGCCCGAGATTGAGTTTGGTGGTCTCCACCCAACTTCTACCCTTGAGTAACAAGGGCAATAGAAGCTACATGTATTTCCATTGTAAGAAAATTCTATGGCCACCTCATCAACAGTAAACAAGGAATCTGGGTTTAGTGAGTTCTAAGGTGGCGACTGGGGAAGCTTTTCTTCTGCTGAAAGGGACTTAGAGGTCATACTGAATGGGACATTGCACAAAAGAGAAAGGGATGGAACATGGAAGTAGGGATGGTAATTTCTACCCAATCTGGTGGGTATTGATGGTTTTGAGATTTTACAATCCGTATGGGTACGGGTAGGTTATCGTATTAGGCTAAACCTATCTCTCCCCAATCTGCATATTATTGGAAATCATATAAACTTTATATATTAGGTGTTGAATTTAATATTTTAAATTTTATGTAAAGGATAATTAATAGTTTATGTATTTTTTACGTGTTTTAATCAAATAATTGGAAATTTTATTGTTTTCTTGTATAATTGTACTTATTTATTGCTTAAATATAATAAAAAATTAGATACAGGTTCTAAACCCAACCTGCTCTACCCTTGAATGTGGGAAGGGTAGGGTTTTGTATTTTCATGTGTAGGGAGGGTTTGAATTCTCAAAATCCAACCAACCACAGGTTTTGGACAAGGACGGGTTGAAAGGTTTAAGTAAGCGGGTAGGATCTAGAATTTACAAAACCTTACCCAAACTCGTCATGTTTCCATCCCTGCATAGAAGTATCTGCCTCTCATGTTTGCAAGGAAGAAATACGTGCCTGGGCCTGCGTTTGTTTTTTGTCTAACATTAGGGCCCAAGCTTAAGAAGTAACTGGGCTTGGGTCGTCTGGGGTTGAGCTGATTTGAAGAGTAGACATTGACAAGCATGAGTACCCAACTTTCAGGAATGCTGGACTAGATGAACTGGAATCTGTTCCTCTCAAAATGCGCCTCACACCAATCTTAGTCACACCTCATCCTGTATTGGGAGCATCTCTCCATAAATAATAAATATAAGTACGGGAGGTATTCCCGATGTACGGCCAGAACATGCTATGAAGTCGGTATAAGACGTGCTCTGTGAGGAACATATCCAGATCCAGATCCAGACTTGGACTAGATAGAAGAGTAGGCATTGACAAGCAATTGGTCTAAATTTGCTAGGTCGACCCCAGGAGGGAACCGTCTGGGGGCCAGTTGGTCTAAATATGTAGTCCCTAGCACCACTAGTTTTGTAAATGAGCAATTAGACATTTATATTGTTAAAAAATGATTATGAACAAGGAAGAAGGCTTTAACTTAACATGTTTGGGCCTTTCGGGGCCTCAACAATGACCACGTGATGAATGGACCATTCTTTTGGTTTGGTTCCTACTACGTCCATTGCTCCTAAGGCTGTCTAGATACAGAGGTTTAGGCTCGGTTTGAAAGAAGTACAAATACAAATGTGTAGATTGCAAAGTCTTATATTTTATTTTATTTTCTATGTATTTGTATTGTACAGATTTGTGTTTATATTCTTTTCAAACTAAGGCTGTGTTTATTTACTTTGGTCCAAAATTTGTGGATATATTAGAATTTCCGTCCATATAAGAGTAAACTTTTACACTTTCTTATCGATGTAAACAAGCGTTGTTGCTGATACACTTTGAAGACCACTTCGAAGTTCGAAGAACTCCATTGGAAAAGCAATTACAGTGGTGAAATCCAATATCAATTATTTTCCGTTGACGACCTTTGAACCCGCAAATCCAACCAACGATCTATAAATATTTACTTCTGATTTAAGACACCGGTGGCTTCTACATGAATTTCCTGGAAGGTAAGGGATTTTACAGTCGATTCCTCTGATTTTTTTTGGAAGAAATCAAGATCATAAATATTAGAAGCTCCAACAAATGAACGATTAAACTCTTTTCTTCAACAACTGTACTCTGCTTCTGGAGAGAGAAAATGCAAGAGAAATGAAAACGAAATTTGAATTCAATGACTGCAGTTCGCAGGACTGAGTGGGTTTCTAAGAATTTCATTCAACAGTCAACACCAATGGTAATGGTTTATTTAGATTGCAACTGGAATCGCTGATAAATTTCAATCTGTCACAGAAGACTGCTGAAACTCAAGAAAGTTCTGTTGTTGAAGTTGTAACTTGTGAGTTGGTTAGATTTTGGTTTGGGTGTTCGTGTTGAAATCACCAAAATTGATGAATGCTATTTATTTGTGAATTCTGCTTCTTGCTGAAAATCAAATGTTGATTAGTTTGAGAATTGAACTCTAGTTTTGGATCTTTCCGATAAACCCATTTGTCCAAATCAGAACAGAACCAAGGCACACCGGCCAGAACTAAAATTGGAACTGTGTATTTCTAGCAATGCAGTTGAGCTTCTAATTGTTTTATGTTATAAACCAGACGCTCACAAAACTGCACCATACTTCCAATTGTTTTCACTTAAACCGGACAAGACATCAGCATGCAAAATTGTATTTGCACTACAATCAAACACAGACTAAAGGTTCAGTTTGAAAGGAATACAAATGCAAATATGTTCAATATAAATATTGAGCCTTTCAAACTTTTTCATGCTGCAAAGTGCAGACTCCCATTACCAACTTGTGGTCCACTCCACTCCACAAACAACAGAAGTTAGAGCCAGAGGCCAGGTCAGGACGACCCAGGAGACTACCGAGAACCGACTGACCCTCAGCCCCTGCCCCTGCCCTTAGTCCAAGCATGCCTCTCTCTCATTCTTTATTTTTATCACAATGTCCTTGATGTATACAATCTCTTCTGAAATCTGAATCCTCATGCTATAAGGCTCTGTTTTATTTAATATTATAAGTTGGAATTGCCATGTTCTTTTATCTGGCTCACTCTTCGTTTTTACCCATATTCTTTCATTCTGCTCTAGCATGGCGTCAGATAGAGAGAATAATGAATTTAATTCTCTAAATAAATTAATTGATAATTACTGGCAATGGAAGCATTGAGTAGATTAAATGCACAGATGATAAATTATAACCCACGCGGATGGTACAACGAATCTCTCTAATTCCTTTGTCTTACTTGTGAGGAGGGTCCATCCTTTGCATAGTTTATGTAACGATGGTCGATAAAACCGTACAAAAAAACATGCCCATTATTTTTGTTTTGTTACCCACCACCCACCTTGCCATATTCTCTCATTTCCACTTCTTCATTGCGTTAATGGCAATCATTACGCCTATAAAAGTCATCTGCCCTACTACTTTCCACTTTCCCTTCATTTCTCCCTAGTTCGCACCCGAAACTGTTCCATTCTTCTCTTATTCGCTGCTGTGAGGACACCCTCTGACAGTCCAAAGCAGCCCAAGTCGCTTCCCTTCGTCGGCTGGTTGCCCCGACAAGACTGATCCTCGACGAAACATTCTAATCTGGCATGGCAGAGCCAAGGCAACGTCGTACTTACCCAGAAGGGCATGCAGGAAGCTAAGGAATGTGGGAGGAGAACAAGGGAGATAATTGAGAGCGATGGTGCCCCCGACTGGAAGGTCTACTTCTATGTCTCGCCTTACAGGAGAACTCTTGAAACGTTAAGGAGTCTTGGGAAGGCATTCGAGTCATCCAGGATCTCCGGCGTGAGGGAGGAGCCTCGTTTGCGTGCACAGGATTTAGGCATGTTTCCTAATTCCCTTTGCATTTGCTTCACAGCTTCAGTATGCTTATATTTACATAATTATGGGATTCCTCCAAAATCCCCAGTTGATTTTAAGGTTCATCTGAGACCCACTAACAGAATCACACAGCACTTAACAAGAAACAGGGTAATCACGTACTTACAATGTTACCAAAACAGTTGACAGAAGTAATCAGGAAGTTGTTCTGATAGAAGGAAGACGTTTTATAAACATCATTCCCGTATTTCGTTTTAAATCAGTTGGCAGCAGCACCAATCACTAATTAATTTTGTTCTTCTAATTGGAAATCCTTCTGAAATCACAGAGATTTAAGAATAATCAAAATGGTTGAAAAGGAATCAAATGAGGTTAAACAAATCAGTTAAGGAGGATAAAAGAATTAGGATAACAGTTGTATGTATAATTATCAAATTACAAATTTAAACAGAGATAATGGAAAGCCAAGAGGATGCAAATGAAATTTCACAAATTGGTTATGGATGCTAAAAGGATAAAATAGAGGTAACAAACAGAGGTTTATATAAGAATATATAGATGACAGAGCTGATGCTAAACTAGTCTAGCGACTGTAAATAACAAATATATGTTTCAGCCAACTAATAAGTAATAAATAGTCACTGATGTATAGAGAAATGAATAAATTGACCAAAATAGCTGAATTTCAACAATATTTCAAACTAAATCCTAGGTTTTGCGGAAGAAAGGGCTTTCATATGTACTTATATCAGGAATCAAACAAAGTTGGAATGCCAGTTCAGATTTAAATATTTCAGTGATTTGGATTGAATTTTACTAATGTAGAAATAACTAGATTTATATTTAGCAAATATTGTGAGGGTGTATCAATCAATTCTGTCAAGCTACCGTAGCATGAATTTTATAAAGTAAAATTAAATATAGCAGATTTTACAAAGAAAATCAAAGTAGACAAAAAGATCTTAGGACTTACCCTGTTCGAAAGAGATATGAGTTCGTTCCTTTTCCTCTTTGAGTACAACGGTGTTGGCATACGCGATTAGACAAGGCTCATATTCGCCAGTAACAATGGACAATGGAGTGGACAGAGGTGCAATCAAGCAACTCCTACCAAGGTTCAAAGTATTGATACACCTCAATATGGTGGAAGGGGTGTATCAGTACTTTATACCACACTCTTCCTTTTTTTTTTAGTTTTTTTTTTTTTCAAAAATAGGATAGAGGGGTAGGTCTTAGGCCCGATACTTAATGATATTTTGAACCTTGGTTCCTACTCACATCAGATTCTTGCCTGTTTGCAATGGAGAGTCTGCTGCTGATGTTTATGACAGAATAACTGGTAAAACCAAAGAGTTGCAATGCATAAACCACTAACCGGATAATGGATCAGCAATAGTAGTTGTTATACACATGTGTTTTGACCTCTCTTTCTTCAGCTAGCATTCACAGTTTGAAAATTTACAAAGGGTTTGTACTGCAGGATTTAGGGAGACTCTTAGGAAAGAGATTGAGATTGGACGCTTTCAACTATCCGGTGAATGGAACTCAAACATGAATTTGGTCTTAGTTTCACATGGTCTAACTTTGCGAGTTTGTTTGATAAGGTGGTACAAGTGGACAGTGAAGCAATTTGAGGGCCTTAACAACTTCACTGATGGAGGATGCCTGTGATGCAAACAGGACATGGTGGAAGGTGACTTCCATTTTTCGACTTTGTTATAACGGGTATGTTCATTCATAAATTTAGAGGTTAACCGCAGTTTTCTTGTTTAAGAATATGTCAATAGAATAAGCATTCACCACTTCAATCTTGCTTGAAAAATTAACTAGGTGTGATTAGAGTTTATCTGTGGCAGTTTCGTCCATTTACCAGATATGGATTTTAAGTCTTTATGTGTACAGTATGAAAGCAATTCATCTAACTTAACCACAGTTATCTGATCCTGCAACATGGGAAAGGAAAAATTGCAATATTTTGTATATGCTGAGGGTTGTGCAAACTAGTCCAACTCTGCTATTCTTACCCTTTCTAATTCTTTACTGACTATACTACATTCATCTGATTAGATTTTTTTTTTGGTACACCATAATATTCAGTATCTTTTTTTAGGCAAACAGCTGGAGAAAACCACCCTATGGAGGAGGGCTATGTGGAGTAGGGGTTAGCATTATTCGGTTAAAACTGAACCGAAAATTTTGGTTTCGGTTTTGGGTTATTTCGGTTCGGTTTTATAAAATTTCAATTTCGGTTTTGGTTTTCAGATTTGGGAAGATCTGGTAGCTCTAACAGTCAAAAGACGCATTGAGCTTTTGCATGAAGATCTGAGCAGCCCGAAGCTAGTTTGGCAGTATCACATCTTTCCGTGTCTTTCCGCAAGAGAATAAAACACGAAAGACGCGAAAAGCTTCATTTGGAGCTTCCCGAAATCAGCCCAAATGGGAATAAACCGAAATTCGGGAATAGATCTGCGAACCAAACGGGAATAGACCAAAATTCGGTTTGCCTGGCTTGTAAACAGCCGAAAGACCGTGTGAAATGACGTGCCAAACGGGGCTTTGTTATTTATAGAATGTACATATATTAACATATAATACCTATATAATATGTATAATATATACTATATTGTATTATATTATATATTGAAATATATAATTTATTTTATATATTGTATAATATATATTTTTTAATATATGACATATATAATACCTATAATATATTAAAATATGCATATAGTGTTGAAATTCGGTTTTAACCAAAATAACCGAAAACTGAATCGAAAATTTTGGTTTATTTGGTTTGGTTTTTAACTGAATAAACCGTTTTCTCACCCCTAAAGTGGAGTTGGCAAAACTAGGGGTACCAAACCGTAGGCCTATTTTTGAAACTTAACTGGTTATACCGATTTCTGGAAAACCGGTAACCGAAATTGAACCAAAGCCGATCGGTTAACCGTTGGTTCAATTTGTTGGTTTTTCAGTTTTTTTTATATTTACAATATATATTACAAAAAATATATAAATATATAACAAAAAACCAGAAATATATATAAAATTTTATGTTTTAAATAATAAAGAATATATTTTATATTATAAATATATATATTTATATATAATGCATATTTATTAATTTGTAATATATAGAAAATGTAAAAAAAAACTTGCAAGAGAGAACTAAAGAAATCTTCATTAGCTTCACATGGAAGAGAATACATCTATTTATAGTGTGACGTGTGGCCCGGAATACTGTTCACCATAATTACAAAAAATCCACTCCTTGTCTTGTGCATCAAGAAACATAATAACTTTTTACCTACTAATGCAAATAAACTAAAAATTGAAAGAGAAGCACTAATAAGCTAGAGGAACAAGATGCTATAGCCCAAGCCCACATGGGACTGGTCAAAATGACGAAAATACCCCTGACCAGATCAGTCCAAGTCCCAAGAGTCTTCTCCATACCAAATCAGAACCTGTTTGTTGGCCTTCTTACGAGCATAGTTTTCAAGGCACCTAAGCGTGCTGGGCGATATTGGGGCGTCTAGTCGCCTAGGTGATAAAAATTTTATAATATAAAAATCTAACTTTTGTCTAGTTCCCTAATTTTATATACCATTCAGCATGTATATTAATTGGAAAAAAAAAGCAATTCTCTTTATTAAGAACATTAAATTTCCTCTAAAAATGTGGCAAATCATCACATCTAAAATAGAAATTTCCTTTTCTGAGAAAAAGAGTAACTTTATAAAATCCAACTAGACCCTCCTAGATCAATTTCCCGGTCTGGACAATGGCTCTTGATAAATGTTTGACTAGGATTAACCTGGAGAGAAGGGGTATTCAGATTTTGGACCCCTCCTGTGTTTTGTGTGGTAACTGTGCAGAATCCACAGAGCACTTGTGTATCCATTGCCTGGTTTCCTCTTCAATCTGGGGACATTTTTTCAAGAAGTTGGAGATTTGCTTGTCTATGCCAAGCTCTGTAAAGGAGCTGCTAATGTGTTGGAGAATGGAGGGTCTTAGTAAGAAAGGTAAGCTTGTTTGGAATACCATTCTGCAAGCTGTACTTTGGTCCATTTGGACTGAAAGAAATAACAGAATCTTCTGTGGTGGGCAAGATTTGTTCCTGGGTGTCGGTGAATGAGATATTTAACAATCAGAATGTATCTCATTTGTTATACACTAAATCATGGATGAACTTGTAATCTGTCTTGGGCCCAGGCAGATCTAGTGGTCTGGGCCTTGTTGTAATCTTCTTTTATTCTGAATAAATTACTTTACCTTTTTCCAAAAAAAATAAATAAAAAAAAGAGAGAAAAAGAGAGTACACGAGAAGATGTGCAAAAGGCTAGACTCACATAGGTTACAAAGGCATTATGCTGTTGCTATAAAAGTTTTCCCTGTGAGCACCTAACTTTGGCTATTTTATCTGCTACAGAGTTTAAATTTCTGGGAATCCAGAGTAAAGATGCTTTCAAGTGATGTAACAAATCTCTACCCTTGTCCAGGTAGCGATCCAGTCTCTAAGGTCCTCTTTCCATTTCCCCCAGCCACTTTATTCTGCTGCTATTGCTAGAATCACATTTAACCACTAGGTTGGTCAGTCTTAGTCTTCTTGTGATACAGAGGCCATTTAGCACTGCTACGACTTCAGCCGTTGTACAGTCTGCAGTCCCTAATAGTCCACTAAAGAACCACAAAGGACTACCATCCCTCCTCATAAGTGCACCCCCACAACCAGCTGGACCCGGGTTCCCTAGAGACTTCCATCAAAGTACAAGGTCACCTCCTCTTCCCTTGACTGAGAAAGATTAGAAGCTCTTCTAGCAATAGGTGAAGAGAACAGCAGCTCCACCAGGTTCTGCTGAAGCATGTTTAGAGAGAAGTCTTTGTACATCTCTAAATTCAGCACCCACAAATTACAAAGGTGGGAGATGTGGGAGGTTAGGTCTTCCAAAGTTCTAGCTCTGTTGTTAAAAATGCGGTTGTTTCGTTCTTCCCAAACACCCTACATGACTGCTTGTGCCACTGTGTTCCAGTAGAGTTTACCCCTTTGACCTAGCCCTTTCCCTTGCCATTGCCACGAAAAGTCTTTGATACTTTTAGGAAAAACCCAGTTGTAACCGATCAGATTTAGGGCCTGGTTCCAGATTTTCCTAGTTTCTGGGCAGTGAAGAAGTAGGTGCTCTGCAGACTCTCCACTGTCGAGACAAAGAACACAGACATGGGGGGAATTCACACTCTACCAGAATGCCTTTTTTGTAGAAGATCACAAGTATTTATCTTCTCCAAACAGGCTTCCTAAACAAACAAAGAAAGAGACTTTAGTAGGGATATGACCAATCCAAACTTTCCGGAATGGGAACCCTGAATTTGGATCTTCCGACACCAAGGCCCTAAAGAAGGAATTGGTTGAAAATTTTCCAGAAGGGAGGAGTTTCCAAATTCTTGAGTCTTGTTTTGAGGGGGAAATGTAGACCTCCCTTAAGGAATGTGTCAGATCTGCTAATTCAGCAATTTCTACATCCCTTAAAGGCCTTCTTAAACTTAAGTTCCAACTTAAAGAAGGAGAAAGTTCTAAAAGGCAAGAAGCTATGGTACCCACTTGGTTTTGAGAAAGGCTGAACAAATGAGGGAAAGAAGAAGCTAATGCAATTTCTCCCCACCACAGATCAGTCCAGAAATTAATTTTAGATCCATTCCCTACTCGATTACCTGATAAATTGGATAAAAGAAGAATAGGTGGAACTAATACCTTTCCAAGGATTGCTGGCTTTCACTCGATTCAAGTGGACCTTGCTATCCCATCCATTGTTATGCTTTCCATATTTGCTACTGACAACTGAGGCCCATAGAGTACCTGTTTCTAGAGGGAAGTGCCATAGCCATTTTCCCAAGAGAGTTATATTTCTTTCCTTGATACGACCTATTCCAAGTCCCTCTGCTTCCCTTGAATTACACACTTTGTCCCACTTCACTAAGTGATTCTTCTTTCTCCACTCCCATCCCACAAGAAATTCCGTTGCAACTTCTCAATTCTGTTTTTGACCTTGGAAGGAATCTGAAACACCGAGAGAAAATATGTTGGGAGATTAGCCAAAGAGGTTTTAATTAAAGTAAGTCTGCCCCTCTTGAGAGGTACCCTTTCTTCCAAGTGGCTAATCTCTTTTCACACTTTTCCACCATTGGATCCCATAATCTTTGACTTCTTGGATTCCCTCCAAGGGGCATCCCCAAATAAGAAATGGGAAAACTTTCGACTTTACACCCTAGAATCTCCTTAAAGTCATGCAGCAAGCTTTCACTTCTATTGATTCCCACAATGCTACTCTTGGAATAATTTACATGAAGACCCGACACCATCTCAAAGTAATTACTTTTTTCAGATTGATGATGTTATCCAAATCGGTCTCCAAGAAGAGGATTATATCATCAACAAATAGCAAATGAGACAAGTGAATGGATTTCCTCCCTACTGTAAAACCTCTCAATAGCCTAAGGCCTTTTTCTTTCTCAATAAAGTAACTGAGAATGTCTACAACCAACGTGAAAAGGAGGGGGGATAATGGACAGCCTTGCCTTAGACCTCTGCTTGCCTGAAAGTAACCTTTGGGCTCTCCATTTACTAGTACCGAGAACCAAGCTGTGCTGAAGCACCCTTTCATCCACCGCACCCATCTTCTTCCAAAGCTTATTAACTCCAAGATATTTAGGATCCCGTCCCAATC